GTGGTGGCGGTAGTGGCGTTGGTAGCGGTAGTGGCGGTGGAGGTGGTGGCGGCGGTGCGGGTAACAGTTCTAACGGTGATGGGAGCGTTGCGAGTGGTAGAGGTGGTGGCTTCAGAAGTCGAAGGGGTGCTGGTCGTGGTGGTGGTGGTAGTCGTGGTGGTGCTAGACACGGCCGTAGAAGTCATGGCGATGTTGGTGGCGGTGGTGAAGATAGTGGTAGTGGTGGTGGTAAAAGACACAGATGGAGTAGTGGTGTTGGTGGTAAAGGCAGAGTCAGTGGAGGAGGTGTTGGTGGTGGAAGTGGTAGCGGTGGTGGTGGTGCTGGTATCAGACGCAGCCGTAGTAGTGGTGGCGGTAGTAGTGATGGAGGAGGTGGAGGAGGAGATGGAGGAGGTGGAGGTGGATCAGCGGTGGCGGGGCTGCTCTGGCTGCTCGTGGAGGGGCTGGATGCGGCCTCCCTCTACGAGTTCAGCGTCCTGCCCCAGAACCGGCACGGCAGCGGCGCCTTCAGCCCCGTCGTCAGCGCCATCACCTTGCGTGCGTCACGCACAGAGACCCACAGACCCACAGACACCCACAGAGACCCACAGACCCACAGACACCCAGAGACCCATAGCTACTCACAGAGACCCACAGCGACCCACGTAGAGCCATAGAGACCTACGGACACCCACACATATATATACACACACACACATATACACAGAGACACACATACATATACACACACACATATACACACAGACACACGCACACACATATATACACAGACATACACAGACACACACACATATATACGCAGACACACGCACACATGCGCACACCGACGGCTTCCCTCCTAACCGTCCCGGTGAGTGATCACAACAACAATAACAACAAAAATAATAATCACCACGATGCCTCCCTCCCCCCTCCCCCCAACACCTCCCTCCGCTCCCCTCTGCTCCCCCCTCCTCCCTCTCCTCCCTCCCTCCCTCCGCTCCGCCATCCCCCTCCCCCCGCAGCCCTCCCCACCGCCAGACCCCCGCCCGAGCTCCCCGGCCCCCGGCCCCCCCCCGGCGCCGCCCGCCGCCGCCTCTCGCGCCCCCAGGGGCTCGCGGCGTCGGCGCTGCCCGACGGCGTCTGGGTGTCGTGGCTCTCGCCCGCACGCACGTCACCATCGCCTCCTCCTGCCTGCTGCTCCTGCTGCTCCTGCTGCTGCTCCTGCTGCACCGTCGTCGTCGTCACCTTCCTCCGGCACCGCCGCTCTCCATCGTCGTGGAGGTGCGGGAGCTGCGGCCGGCGCGGGAGGAGGAGGACGACGACGAGGAGGAGGTGGTGGGGGAGGAGGGGGGGGAGGAGGTGGAGGGTCGTGGCATTCCGACTCAGCAGCAGCGGGAGGAGGGGGAGAGCGGAGGGTGGGTGGTGGTGGCCGGACCCGTGCTGGCCAGCCAACACAGGGTGCTCATCGTGGACGGCCTGTACACGGTGTGTGTGTGTGGTGTGTGTGGGTGTGTGGGGGTGTGTTTGTGTGTGTGTGGGAGTGTGTGTCTGTGGGTTTGTGTGGGTCTGTGTGTGTGGGTGTTAGTGTGTCTTTGTGTGTGGGTCTGTGTGGTGTGTGGGTCTGTGTGTGGTGTGGGTCTGTGTGTGTGGGTCTGTGTGTGTGGGTCTGTGTGTGTGTGTGTCTGGGTGTGTGTGGGTCTGTGTGTGTGGATGTGTGGGTGTGTGTGGGTCTGTGTGTGTGTGTCTGTGTGTGTGGGTCTTTGTGTGTGTGTGTGGGTGTGTGTGTGTGGGTCTGTGTGTGGGTCTGTTTGTGTGTGTGGGTCTGTATGGTTGGGTGTGTGTGTGTGTGTGCGTGGGTGGGTCTGTGTGGGTGTATGTGTGGGTCTGTCTGTGTGTTTTTGGTTGGGTGTGTGTGGGTCTGTGTGTGGTTGTATGTTTGGGACGATGACAACGATTATGACGATGATGATGATGACGTTGACGATGACGACGATTATGACAATGATGATGAAGACGACGATTATGACGATGACAACGACGTTGACGATATTGACAATGACGACGAAGACGACGACCATAATGACCACCATAATGATGATGACGACGGCGTTGTTGCGGCTGCTGCTGCTGCAGGACGCGCAGTACGAGGTGCGCGCTGTGGCCGTGGCCGGAGCCGAGCGGAGTGAGCCCAGCGACGCCGTCACCGTCTCCACCGCCGGTGAGCGATCCCGGCAAGCCACACCACCGCCACCGCCACCGCCACCGCCATCACCACCATCATCACCTCCATCATCATCACCTTCATCACCACCACCATCACCACCATCACCACCACCACCACCACCGTCACCACCACCATCATCATCATCATCACTTCCATCACCACCATCATCACCTCCATCATCATCACCTTCATCACCACCATCATCATCATCATCACCTTCATCACCACCATCATCTCCTTCAACACGACCCCCACCACCTCCATCACCACCGTCACCGTCGCTGCAGCAGCAGCAGCAGCAGCGACGGCGTCAACGCTGTTATCGTGACGTTCCCACCACATGCCCCACCCCGGAGTGGGCATCTGTGAAACGAAGAGCTTCTACAATGGAGGTTTTTGGGTTGGGTCGCGTAAACATATGAATGCGTCGTTAAAACCCTCCACTACCACCCGACGCAGCCAACCAACCCAAACTAAACCTCCGTCGTGGATTTATTTTAACTGCCGTGACAAAAACACCCGCGACCATTCCGCGTCCTCCATCTGCGTCGGCCCGCGGTGGACGTGACGTCGTGCGCCACGGCCGTCACGAATCCGAACTTTGCCAAAGTTTTAAAAGCACCCGGCAAATCACTCAATTGGGATTGATCGCCCCCCCCCCCCCCCCCTCCTGGCATCGGAGCGATGCTGCTGGTCAGTGCTGTGAACGAGACTCCCACCCTGGTAGCCCCTTGTCCTGGTCGCACAGAATCGGCTTGACTCATTCACTCACCCACTAACTCACTCACCCACCCACTCGCCCATTCACTCGCCCACCCACTGAACAACCCATCCACCCACCCACTAACCCGTCCACCCACTAACTCACTCACCCACCCACTCGGCCACCCACTAACTCGTCCACCCACTAACTCACTCACCCACCCACTAACCCGTCCACCCACTCACTCACCCACCCACTCAACAACCCATCCACCCACTCAAAAACCCATCCACCCACCCACTGACCCATCCAGCCACCCACTCACCTACCCACTCATCCACCCACCCACTCAAAAACCCATCCACCCACCCACTCACCCACCAACCTGTCCACCAACTCACTCACCCACTCACCCACCCATTAATCCGTCCACCCACTAACTCACTCACACACTTACCCCACCCATCCACCCAACCATCCACCCACCCACTCAACCGTCACACACTTACCCCACCCACCCATCCACCGTATGTGTGCGTGTGTGTGTGCGTGTGTGTGCGTGTGCAGGCGTGTCGGTGTTCCCGCGGTGGCCTCCCGCCAGCGCCGTGTCCACGCCGGTACTGGCCGGTGTGGTGGCCGGCGTCTCCTTCTTCTCGCTCTCGCTGCTCTTCAGCTCCGTGGCCGCCGCTCTGGCCGCACATCGTCGCCGGCGCCGGGAGAGGAGGAGACGAGGTGAGGGCGAGGGTGCGGAGGAGGCGAGGTGTGTGTGTGTGTGTGGGTGTGTGTGTGTGTGTGGTGTGTGTGTACGAGTGTGAGTGTGTGTACGAGTGTGAGTGAGTGTGTGGTGTGTACGAGTGTGAGTGTGTGTACGAGTGTGAATGTGTACGAGTGTGAGTGTGTACGAGTGTGAGTGTGTGGTGTGTGTGTGTTGTGTGTGGGAGTGTGTTGTGTGTGTGTGTGGTGTGTGTGGGTGTGTGTGTGTGGTGTGTGTGGGTGTGTGTGTGAGTGTGTGGTGTGTGTACCAGTGTGAGTGTGTGTTGTATGTTGTGGGTGTGTTGTGTTGTGGGTGTGTTGTGTGTGTGTGGTGTGTGTGTGCGAGTGTGAGCTTATGTGCGAGTGTGAGCTTATGTGCGCGCGTGGTGTGTGTGCGTGTGCGAGTGTGTGTGCGTGTGCGCACGTGGTGAGCGAGTGTGCGTGGTTTCGAAAGGAGTGGTGGTGCGAGCGGTCAGCCACGGCCGACATCAGTGGCGCGCGACATCCGAACCTGAGCCGGCCCCTGTGCCTGGACCCCCGTCCCCTCCGCCTGACCAGCGTGGCGACGTGTGGATCGTGCAACAGCGGGAACGGCAGCAACGTTAGCCCCCTCCCTCCCCGCCTCCCCGCTGCGATGACTACCTGGCAGTATCGACCTCAATGTGGCTGACCGGGGCGGGCGAGCTTTGTAGTGGATATGCGTGTGCGTAAAAAGAAAAAGTTTAATAAAAAGTTCGAAAGAAATACGTAAGAAGAAATTATAAAACAATTCCAAAAGTTTAAAAAGTTAAAAAGAGGTAAAAAAAAAAAGTTACAAAAAATGAAAATAAAAGTTTTAAAAGTTGAAAAGAAGTAAAAAATTTGTAAGAAAAAGTCACGAAAAAAAGTTTTGAAAAAAGTAAATATTAAGTACAAATTTAGAAAAACCTTGCCAGCTCGTCGGATTCCTCCTCCAGCGTGCGAAGTAAAAATATTCCAATTCCGCCACGTTGCTGCGCCAATAGCGACGCCGCCTGGCGGCCATTTGCGGCGCTGCCGGGTTGCGGAGGCTCGCCAATGGAACCGCTCTGCCGCCGGCGGCCCTGGTTAATACTGCAGTGGCTAGATGTTAACTACCTCGCCTTGTCTACAGGAGGTCGTGGGTTCGATCCCGACCCTGACGCCTGCTGCTGTATATTTGGAGTTTGCGTGTCTCTCTCTCATCATCATCACGGTGGCTAGGAGATGTTAACTACCTCGCCTGGTGTACAGGAGGTCATGGGTTCGATCCCGACCCTGACGCCTGCTGTTTTTCCCGACTGATGTTGCGAGATTATTAATTGTGTTCCGTTTCTCTCT